GGCATCCTCCTACAAGTGGGGTTCAGTGCAGGAAAACCCAGAAATCGCTTGGTGTGCATTGCATTTGGGGCATGGCCTGATTTACCCCCCCCCATTTTGATGTAATATTACTACCAGTGTGCAAACGTGTGTACTTCCCTCGACGGTTCACCACGACCTCCTCAGGTCCCTTGCTGAGCCGGTGATTATTTTGCTCCATCGCTCCAGCAAAGGGGCTTCAGGTCCAGCAGAGATGTGGGTCAGGCGTCAGGAAGCGTTTTCTCCATCCAGGTTGAGAGGCCTCGAGACTGCCTGAGCAGGACGGGAGAGTCCAGCTGCGGGGTGGACACCAGGCTTGGTTACAGCCTGTCCGGCCTGAAAGCAAGGGACACACAGGGGGTGCCGGGACCCCGAGAGCACCTGAGGGGCTCTGGCCTGGCCTGTGCCGTATCCTCGCAGCCTTCTGGTCTGTGGCTGTCTGGGCCGGCACATCTGGGTCCTGGTGACTTTGCCCCTTTGCCGATTCTGACCCTCCTTCAGTCAGGACAGTTTAACGAGGACATGATCCCCACCGTGGGCTTCAACATGCGCAAGATCACCAAGGGGAATGTGACCATCAAGGTGAGTGTCCAGGAGCGGGACCCTGGATGCACGCACTTGCGTGTGCATGCGCGCATGTGTGTGTGCACGTGCATGTGTGCTTGAGTGTGCGTGTGCATGCTTGCGTGTGCGTGTGTGTGTGTGTGTTTGTGTGTGTATATGCGTGTTGGGTGGGGCCGAGGGGCTGCGGGAGGCGCCTGAGGCCCTGGAGGAGAAGCTGAAGGAAAGCAGAGGCTTGGGTCCAACCAGGTAGTTGGAAGAAGAGAGCAGGAGACGTGAGGAGGCAGAGGGACCTGGAGAGAGGAGGAACCCCGGGCGGGGGTGGTGCAGGGCGCTTGGGAGCCATGGTGGGTTTGGATGCCTGCCTGCCGCTGAGACCGTCTCCCCTCCTCTTGCTCAGCTCTGGGACATCGGGGGACAGCCTCGCTTCCGCAGCATGTGGGAGCGCTACTGCCGAGGAGTGAGTGCCATCGTGTAAGTGTCCGGCAGGGCTGCAGGGACCTCTGGCACAGAACCAGATCGGGCACAGTCCTTGGCCTGTGGCTCACGGCCGCACACAGCTGCCTTTGCTTTGAGGGGCGCTCTGGGCACCCACTGGCCAGTTTGAGAACCAGAGCATCAGCCCCCAGAAGGGCCTGTGTGTCCGCACCTGCCTGCCTCCCCCAGCCCAAGCTCACCCTCTCCCGAATTTTGTGTGACTTGATGGTTCGTTCCCTTGCTTTTTATATTTTAGTTTATTGTTTTCAGCAGAGGTGCTGGGCTGGAACCCTGAGCCGCCCCCCCACCCCCTTGCTCTTTGAAAGCAGCTTTATCCTACGGACATGGGCCCAAACGAAGCATTGTTTAGTTTCCGTTGCTCTTAACCTGATTTTTGAACAGCGTCTTGATGCGGGGAGGTCTTCTGGGGCTTGCTTTGCCGTTCTCCCCTGCCTTACCTCGTCCTCCCATGGGAAGGAAGAGGGTCGCTGTGGGAAGGACGTGGGGGGCTTCCCCAGGGGCCCTTGGAGGCCGGGGCCGTGGCAGGCCCAGGGGCGCCTGCAGACCTCATTCCCATCGGCCTTGAGCCGCCTGGGTGGCCTGTGGCCCAGGGTGACCAGCCAGAGCAGTGTTTTCTCTTCCAAGCAGGAGCCCCTTCTCCCCTCATCTCTCAGCTGTGGTGTCAACGTGCTTGTCTCCACCCTGCTGTCCCCAGGTACATGGTGGACGCCGCTGACCAAGAGAAGATCGAGGCCTCCAAGAATGAGCTCCACAACCTGCTGGACAAGCCCCAGCTGCAGGGCATCCCGGTCAGCCCCCGGGGCGGGGGGGCCCTGGGGGAGGACGCTTGCTGCAGAGTTGCGGGGGCAGATGTGGACCAGGCACTGTGGGGGGAGGCAACAGGACTGTGGAAGCCAGCCCCCTGGACAGCCTGGCCGGAGCTGCCCTGGAGCGAGCCCTTGTGTTCTCCCCCTGCAGGTCTTAGTCCTGGGTAACAAGCGAGACCTCCCAGGAGCCTTGGATGAGAAGGAGCTGATTGAGAAAATGTGAGCTTGGTGACTCCTCCCTGTCCTTCCTCCCCGCTCTCCAGACTCCCCAGGCTGGGCGCAGAGGGCTGGCTGCCGGTCTCAGCGTTTGCCGCACGGTGGCGGCAGAGCGCACCATCCCGAGCCTTGCCCCTCACACGGGCCTCCAGCGCAGGCTCCCACCTGCCCCAGGCCCCCTGGGTGGTTGCCGCCTAGGCAGACTCCTCTGGTTTCCCGCAGGAATCTGTCCGCCATCCAGGACCGAGAGATCTGCTGCTACTCCATCTCCTGCAAAGAGAAGGACAACATTGGTGCGTGGGTTTGGGGGCAGTGCTGCATTGAGGGGCATGGTGGGGGTGGGAGGGGAAAGCACTTGGATGCTTTGGAGCCCAGAGCTCTGTGGTTCTCCTGGGTTGGGACAGGCAGCAGGAGGCCCGGATTCTTGAGCATCACCCCAGCTCTGCCATCATCTGGTGTGTGATCTTGGCCAGTCCTCCCTCCTTGGGGCTCACTCCCCACCCACTCGTGAGGTATCAAGGTCAGACCAGGTGATTCCAGGCCCCTTCCAGCTCCAAGGGACATGGTTTGTGGCTCCCGTGGCTCTGTCTCTTTCACAGCACCAGACACCCCCAGGGTTGACCCCAGCTGCAGTTCAGAAAGCCTGAGCCCCCTCCAGAAGCCCTGTAACCTCCTCTCTCCCCCCCAGACATCACCCTACAGTGGCTTATCCAGCACTCAAAGTCACGGAGAAGCTGAGGCTGCTGCCCGCCCCCTCGGACCAGGGACGCCGCGCTCCCGCCCCGCCCCCACCCCCCCAAGCCCACCCCTGGTACTCAGCCTGGGGAGGGGCCCTCTGGGGGGATCCCAGAGTCCTGCTCTGCTGAGGTTTGAACTCCTGATTTTACTGTAAAATAAGTTGCTCCTGTCTGGCCCCTGATCTCTCCTGCCCCTCTCTGCCCCGGCCTCCACCCCGCCCCGCTCCCTGTGCCCTCTCTGCCCCGGACCCCGCCCCGCCCCGCTCCCTGTGCTGCTCCCGTGCTTCCCTCTGCAACACTTCTGTTGTTGTCCTGTGTGTACAGTATATATATGTATATATATTTTAATTTTTTAATTTAAGCAAAGCTAAAATCACCCATGTGATGCTGCAGGGGCCTGTCAGGGTCGGGGGGACGTCCGGAGACGGGGAGAGTGCTGCGGGCTTGGCTGGGGCAGGTTCAGGTCAGGACAGGCAAGGCTGCCCGGGGCAGGTGGCCGTCCCCCAGTCCCTGTCCCCGCAGTGCTTGACTGACAGGCCGACGGGAGCCTCTGGAGGCGCCCGCTCTGTCCTAGCCTCCGCGTGGCCGCCAGGCACGCCCAGGTGCCAGAGATCGCTGGCCGAAGGGGCGGGAGGCCAGCGTGCGAGGCCCCCCGGCAGCCCCCGGCTCCTGCCCCTCCCCGGGCCCCCACCTCCACGGGCCGCCTCATTTTCTGTTCTCATTTTGCAGAGTTGCACACGGAGAGAACTCAGCACGGGGGGTTGGTTCTTTGGGTTTGTTTTTTGTTTGTTGGTTTAATTTAATGGTTTGTAAAGTGACTCTCTTCCTTTTTACACTTTCAGCTCATATTTAACCTCTGTTTGGAAAATGATTCTTGTAACTGTACTTTTTTTGCCTCCTAACAACAATGAGAATAAATGACGGTTTTGTGTTGGGGGGTGCGTGGTGCGGGCTATTTCCGTGGGTGGCGTGGGACGACGGCCAGCCCGGGGACCCGGCCCCCCTGCCCCGGCGCACACAGCGGAGGGAGGCACGCGCTCACCCGGGCTCACAATGGCCCTTCACAGAGCCGCCCAGCGTGTGCTCCGGCTGCCCCCATCCCGCCGCCTCCTCTGGTCAGACTCCAAGCCAGCAGCTTAGCTGGGCCATGGTGGCAGGAGTGCGGGGCCACACCCATTTCCTCAGATTCTGGTCGGGGGGTAAGGGCTCCACCTGCAGCCAGAGACGCTGGAGCCAGTGAACTGTTGGAGAGGGCGGGGGGCTTCCCCTCTGCAGCCTCTCTGTCGGTGTCTGGCTGCTGGTTTTGGGGAGAGGCCATACCCTCCCTCCTCTGCCCACCCCCTCCTCTCCCTGCCCAGACTTAAAGCTGGTCCCTCTGGCTGCCTGCAGCTGCAGCCTCAGAGCCTTGCGGGCCCTGCTGCTCAGGGCCCTGCTGCTCAAATCCGGGGCCATCTTGACCCAGTTTGACTGTAAGCCCCGCCCCCAGCTCCCCTCCGCCCCGCATGGAGCGGCCCTGCTGAAGGCCCATCGGCTCCCCCACCTCTGCAGGAGGGAGGCCGGACCCTCGGTCCTGGGAGCGGGGCCCACCCTGCTGGCTCCTGAGCTTCACCAGCCTTCCTTGGTGCTTCCTCCTGGAGGCACCTTCGGGCCCCAGGCGCAGGGAGAGAGGACCTGCCTGGAGAGGGCGTTTGCTCCCCGCTGCCGCAAGTCTGGGGGAAAAGTGGATAGAGTCTGGCAGGTGGAGCTACCTGACTACAGGGCGCCTTACAGTGCGTGCCCCCGGGCTGAGGAGCTTGGCGCTGGGGCCAGGCTGTCCCCTGGGTGCTCCTGGCTTCGAGGTGGTAGGGGACGCCGTGGCCTGGGGGGCTGGGGCAGGACTGACAGTCTCACTGATCCTGGGAGCAGGGCGGGCACCTTCAGGGCTGACCTGCCTTTCTCGTGCTGTGTCCTCTGATGAGAGCGAGGCCTGAGATGAGACAGGAGGAGCTGGTTACCGGCAAGCAGGTGTCCTGCCGCGGAGCCTGGTATCACAGACCGTGCATGTGCGTGTCCCGCTGCACACGCACTGCCCGGGCCCAGCCTGCTCTGCGGTTCTGGAGAGTTAACTCCCGGGGTGGGGAGAAGGGGAAGGTGCCGGGCGTCGTGCCGGGTGCTGGATGTATCGCCTCCTGTTCAGCGACTCCAGGCCCTGTGAGGGGTTATTCCACATTCTACCAATGGGGTCCAGTGGCCGGGTCCGTTGACCAGGGGGAGGCGATTCTTGCTGCAAGTGCAGGGCTGGGGGTGGGGGTGGGGGGCTCAGTGGGTTGGTCCCTCCCCATGGCTGGCATCAGGGTCTGAGAGCTGTCCCCTCAAGTCCAGCTCAAGGCCTCTGCTCACCACTGCCAGCCTGCCCCTCCACCCCAGGCCCGGGACCCCTAAGCGACAAGCGCTGCATTGTTCCCCCAGCTGGCCCGGCCAGCGGGACAGTGGCTCTTTCCCAAGGCCCGCTGGCCTGCTGACTGAATCTGCAAGCCCCTCGCGTTGCTGGGCCCTGGGCGGTGGTGGTGCCGGGCCTCGGAGCGCACGTCTCCTCTCTTGGGCTCTGAGCCGGCCAACTAGCCGCCGGGAGAGGCAGGGGGTGCCCTTTGTGGCAGAGCCCCTGAGACAGGATGTAGAGGTGCCCCCGCCCCTCCTGTCAGCCTCCCATCCTCAGGCCTCGTGTCCCAACTTCACCCCGGCCCCCTCCTATGTCCGGTAGGAAGCTGCTGGTATGGCCAGGATTGGGGGGGTTCGGAGGGGGGAGGGGGTGGGGGG